TACCCAAATATCACATATTATTCATAGTTCATCACACACACACATATATATATATATATAAATGCTGCAGTTTCCTGCAAGCGATACCCCCCAAGTTTACCATATATCATTATTGTACAAACGTGTGGTAAGCGATGGGACCTTCCCAAATTTGTGGATGTCCTTTCCGTGAACCTAGGGTTTTCACAATCGCTCATATTGAATCTTTCTCACATACCGGGTGCCAGAAAATTATCGTACTCCAGGGGTGTCATCATCGTACCCCATGGTTTGACATTCTACATTTTGGGCGTTGTTGGTTCAAATCGGGCGTCATTTCAAACTTGTGTGCTGGAAGAAAAGATTTTTTTTGGGCAGGAACCTGTGCCGTCGACAATGCATGTGCCAGAAGAAAACAGCGCTTGGGTAACAAACACCATGAAACCCACATTTCACCTTGACCAGGTCTTTGCATATTTTTGAATTTCGGAGCTATTTTGGCATGGAATATGATCGGCCCCGGAATATGACACATTGCTAAGATAGAATGCGCAGTGGCCGGAACTGAGGCCCTACTTTCCGGAAGCCTTCCTGTACGCTTCACTTTCATTCACTTCAGCACACCCGCAAGACGCAAGCGTTCGCACTCAGCAGCTTTGCCTGAAGTTATGATGAGTTTTTTATGGGCAGGTGGCACATGTTGGCGCGGTTGGCACGATTCCCAAATCATGAGAGTCCTGCCATCGCTATCAGCTGCTTTTCGTGGTCAGGTCTGAGATTGCGTGGCCGTTCACATTTGGAACTGGGGTCATAAAGGCGGTTGACACAGCGCAATGTGAAGTTCTGTACTTTCAGGCAATACTTTATGAAGTTGAACCAGTTGAACTAGAAGAGTGGCAGACACGACGTCAGACTCCGATGGCCAGTAAATTGTGGAAAGATTGTTGCATGCTTGGTGCTAAGGTCTGAAGACTTGAAGATACTTAGCTTGGCACAACATCACATGAGTAAAGGATAGACTCTGCCCTTGCTTTAGTATCACTTCAAGAAGATTCGGAGCACGGATGTGCAGTGTCGCGACATGTTTATGCCATGTTTATACCTATTTCCATATATTTCATGTTGAATTGAGATCTCTTTGTAGGTTGTAGGCCTTCAAGGGCATAGAATAATTATATAGAATGAGATTTCCTAGACAGCTTAAAGAGCACATGGCAAAGTGTGAAAAGACTTTGAATCTTCTTCAGAAGTCGTTGTTTTTAAAGACTTGACAGCGTGATTTTGCGCTACAGACGATGTGTCAGACCAGGCGGTCAAGTGGGGCCCTGTCGGTCTCAAAAGACCTTGAAAGGAACCTGAGCCGGTCAAGTGCTGTTGTTCCTCTTACATGTTGTGCACATTCAAAGGTTTCGCAGCGTTGCCACCACCGAATATTGATGATCATTCTCAATGCATCTTAATGCCAACAAGTCTTTCGTGCAAACCGCTGATTGCGCATGTGGAACAACAGATGCATTCCAAAGCATGTATAGGTCCAATTATTTGATGGACGTCCGAAATTCACATGTGCTATGGTCAAAACGAGGGCCATCTCCCATGTTTGGGAATGGTCTCTATTCTCTATGATTATTCCATACCAGTAGTACCGCACAAGGCGGTGGCGGAAGTTTCAGAAATAGGAAACCTATAGGAAGGGTTGGTTGTTGTGACTCACGGATGGCAGAGCGAATCCACTGATGGACCGAAAGGTGGTTGGAGTTGTGCTTGTTCGAGTGGTTGCAATGGTTGCAGCAGTCACCTCACTCACAACTCCTGGATGTAGTGTGGTGTATCGCAGTAGTTGCAGTTGTAGTTGTAGTTTTAGTTGTAGTGGTGTTGGCGTTGTTGAAGTTGTTGAAGTTGTAAGTCTTAATTGTAGTAATTGTAGTAATGGTGTAGCGCAGTAGTTGTAGTTGAGTTGTAGTTGTAAGTTGTAGTTGTAATGAAATGTATTTAGTGTAGTGTAGTTGCAGTTGTAGTTGTGGTGTAATTAGTGTAGCGTATTGTAGTTGCTGTAGTGTTGTGTACTGTAGCGTGGTCTAGTGTAGTGTGGTCTAGAGTGTTGGAGCGTAAACTAGTGTAGTTGTAGTTGTAATGTCGTGTCGTGTAGTGCAATGTAGTGGTAGTTGCAGTTGTAGTGTAATGTAACGTAATTAGTGTAGTGTAGTGTTGTGTAGTGTAGGGTAGTTCTAGTTGCATTTGTATTTGTAGCTGTAATGTACTACAGTTTAATTAGTGTATTGTAGTGAAATGTAGTGTAGCTGTCATTGTAGTTGTAATTGTGGTGGTGGTGGTGGTGGTGGTGGTGGTCGTCGTCGTCGTCATCGTAGTCGTCGTAGTGGCCGTTGTAGCAGTTGTAGTGTAATTAGTGTAGTGTAGCGACATTAGATGTAATTAGTGTAGTGTCGTATGTGTAGTGTAATTAGTGTTGTGTAATGTACCGTAGTATATTTGTACTTGTAGTTGTAATAGTAGTGTAATGTAGTGGTCTTGTAGTTGTAGTTGCAGTTGTAGTTGTCTATCTATATCTATCTGTCTATCTGCAAATTTGAAAACGAAGCTATTCTGCGAGACTTCCTCAGTTTTTGAACTTGACAACATCAAAAGCGGAGCAATTCTGCGAGACTTCCTCAGTTTTCGAAATTGACAACATCAAAGACGAAGCAATTCAGCGAGACTTCCTTCAAAAATGGAAAGTTGCGTGCAGAGCTGACGGCCTCGTACCAATGCGTTTTGCGATTTTTCCAGTCCATCTGTCTAAACTACTGCGCCTACCAGGAAAAAGTGATGCCAGGTCATACGAAGTGCTGCACATGTCACGCAAAATCATCTCAGCAAACCTGAAGATCTGATGCTCCAAAATGCAACCCGTCTCAGGAAATCACCGCCCGGACCTCCTAACACCTCTGATGAAGATGTCTCTTGTACTGCGCCTGCCACGGAAAATGCATCTTTGCAGATCCTCTTCAAATGTCCCACGCCTGCCATCGTTTTAGGAAATGCCACAAAACCCTCACGTTTAGCTCATTTTGAGAAGGTGCACAATCCCTTGCGCCTGCCACGCGAAAGCACATCTGAACTTTCAAAAGTGGCGCGAACATGTCGTGTTATGTACATTTTGACTTCGAAATGTGCTTTGCGCCACGACGGCGTGCACTTTTTCGACGTCGCAACTTCCAAAAGTGGTCCGGACCTGGTGTGCTTTGTACATTTTGACTAGGAAAAGGGGCTTCGCGCCGCAACGGCGTGCAATTTTTCATCTCTCATCTGGCCAGCTGGCTCCGCACCCGCCGCTTTAGCGAGCCTACTTTTCGACCCTCCGGAGCCGCAAATCATGGGAAAAACACAGTGTTTCGCGATTTTCCTACCTTTTCGCACACCTGGATCTTCTTTCTTCTGACTCTTTCTCTTCTTCTCTCTGACTCTTCCAGTCTCTGCTTGTCATCTGTCCATGGAAGTTTGACTTCTAAATTTCCGTCGATTATTCCATTTGTCGCGGATGAATGTTTCACAATATTTCAATGATGAATATCGCCGCGCCGCTAGTTGGGAGTTGGGATGCCCATTCCTTGCGTAAGGTGTTTGGACCATGGCACGTATGCACTTGCAAGTCCCATGCTACTTGCAGCTTTCCATTTGTGAGCCCCACGTTGTTCACAAATTTCCTTTGTGTTTGATTTGCTTCGTGCACGTGGCGTCTCCGCATGGCACACCATGCTGCGTTCTTGCGGCGGTGCCCCATGTGCACTAAATGCCAAGGGTTTTCCCAGCCGACAATGCGAAAACATTATGACAAATATATAGCATAATTGAAATAACTTGATTCATTGATGTATTCAAGTGTTGGTTGGGACGGCTGATTTTTGTTTGGAAACAAAGGACCATTCGCAGCAGAACTGTCAGGCCGATCGGTCCAAACTTATTTGGCATAACTATCAGGTATTCTTAGGTTAGTCAGGTTACTAAGGTTTCGTGATTTTCATGTTTCGATTCGAGCCTCCAAACTTCTGCGACTGCTCTGCAGGATTCCGAAACGTGCAGAGCATGGCATCCAATGTATGCCCTGCCCTGCGCAATGCGCCGAAGAAAGATGAAAAAAAATATGTCGAGAACCATCTTGCTGCTTGCCACTGCAATGATGCACCGTGCCAGCAACGTGACAACACCATGCAACTGCCCAGAAAACGGCTCAAGCTCAAAATAGCATTTTCTGGCAGCTCGTCCACAGCGTCAGCCATGTGCCTTTTTAAGCCTGAGACTAATCAGACCACCGAGACCATTTCCTCATCTCCCTCATCTCAGACCGAATCTGGAGGCTTGCGCTGCGCTACCTCAGTGTTTCATGGTGTTTCCATGTCTTACTGAATATTACTGAACTTCAGTCAAAGTCGGTCCTCGTCGGATCCGCGTCCGATCCTTTTCCTCTGATTTTCATTCTGAGAGAGAGAGAGGGGCGTTGCACTGTTGAAGTGAATCATAAAGATCATTCAAGTAAGATAAAGTAAGTATAAGTCACAAAAGTCACAAGCAACATTGATAAGCGAATCTAGCGAATCTAGTGAACGATTGTGAAGTAAAGTGAACAAAATGAACAAAGTGAACACGTAGTCATTAGATGTCACTAGTGAACTGATGTGAACAGTGGGCCAGGATCAAAGGCAGAGGCTCGCCGGCGCAATGTCCAAGAAAAGAAACTCAAGCTGGAAGAAGTGCCCGGGCTGAAACGTTTGAAACGTTTGAGCTTGCGGCCACACGGGCCTACACGGGCCTATACAGCAATTATTGTGTTTCATTTGTTTTTAATGTCTAAAATGCATGGTTACACTTTTATTGAGGACAGCGTTCCATGCAGAAAAGCATTTAGGCATGACTTAGGCATGACTTCTTGGATACAGCGTTTACAATGGTAAATGACATTCAAAAACACGCTAGGCATGACTTAGGCGTGACATTGTCGCTTCCCTGTATATTTTAAAGTATCACCATCCCAGATTCTTTATTTATCTCTATTTTACATTATGATTTCTTGATAATTATTGTGTATAATTTTATATAGTTTGAGAGCCTCCAGTTCAGTTTGAATTCGGGAAGCTTGCGTTTGAAACCTGATGAAACTGGTTTGCATATGTGCGCGTGAACAATTCACAGATATTCGCAGAACAAGACTGCGTGCCTGTCAATGTCCTCGTCAGCTGAGATGCTACAGACAGCTGCAGCTGCCAGTAAAGCAGCGTCCACTACCACTTTGAAGAGGTGACATGCGGGGAACTGGGATTGCCATGTGTTGTCATGAATTTGCTAGATGATCCATGATGACCCCACTAGATCGGAGAATATCCATCAATATCCCACAATTTTCGACGTTGCTGATAATGAGGAATAATGAATGAGGAATGGCAGTGACGTGGATGTGCCATGACCAGACTGGAACGAGGATGGGATCTTAATGAAAATAACGAATCTGTAACTTCAATTCTAGGATTTGTAGGCGATTTTGATGACGGTATATTCAGGCGTTTCTGGCGCCAAAGGCCACGGCAACAGCCGCTAAGATATTAAACGAAGATGTGCTGAGTTCATTTGAGTTCATTCCTCCCTTTTGTGGCATACATTGCATGGTTCCATTCACTCAATTTAACCGCCTTCGGCGTGTTCCGCCGGCCACCGTGGAAAAAGCTATCCTGCAAGCCGCAAAGAGCGCTTGCACAGGCCTAGGAAAGATGTGGTTTTTGTGTAAAACATCATTTAGGTGCATAACACGGTTTTTGTGTACAGCGTCTTGTGTAAACCATTTACGCAAAACATCGTTGTGTAAACCGCGGTTTAAGTTTAAGCCAGAGCACGAGTGCATAAACCAGGGTTTGGGGAAAAGGCCATGTATAGAAAGGTGACGCATGTGACAGACCACCTATATGAATGAACATAAGAAACGACACAACAAACCGGTGGCAAACACAGCAAAAAGGGCGGAAAAAACGAGGGAAATAACAGCTACATGTTCAAAACATGTCAAAACCAAGCGCGTGTTGAGCGAGTCGTGGGCAGAGTTGAGCCCAGCACAGCGTGGCAAAAGATGAAGACAAAAAGCACGAAGAGGACAATGACGACGAAGATGAAGGGGGGAAGAAGGGGGGTTGAAGTTAGACGAGGCAAAAATCCGCGCCAAGGGGAAAGTCTAGACAAAGGACAAGACAGACAGTACAACTACGAACAAGCAAGATCCACAAGACATGCCGGCAGGCCGGTGGATTTGTAGAGGTGGCACGTGGCATGCTGGTGGCATGTGCGTTGAGCAATGTTGGGCAAGGTTGAGCAATGTCGAGCAATGTTGAGCACTTGCCTTCTTTTGCCTTGTTTCTGAACGATTCTTGATCGCGAGGCGGATCCGTCAGCGGCTCCACAAGAAGTTGGGCAGTGTGTTCTCCAAGAAAGATTTTGCCTTGGCCATGGAACGTTTCAAGCTGTTGGAGCAGCTTGGCCCAGCTTGGCCCAGCTTGGCCACGCTTGGCTTCCGTTGCGAAGCCAACCTGAAGCCGACCTAAGTTGGAATATCTTTGAACATTTACTATATACTACATACATCTATAATATATATTAATATATTTTATATAGATCTATATAGATTATATAGTCTATATAATTCTATATATATATATAAACACACTTATAATTGCTTTGAGATCTAACAACTGCTGCTTCAAAAGCAGTATTCGCATCCACGTGCATTTAGCAACTGAGCAACTTCTGCAACATCCGACGGATCCAGCAATGGACTCGACCAGTGTCAAGCATGCCAAGAAAATCCACATGACATGACGCGCTAAGTCCTTCTGCTCACAGCTGTTCCCGTTTGTTCTGCCAAGGGCTGAAGATGAAGACCGAGAGCCCATGCCTTTCGAGCCCGAAGCAGCTGGGATTTATTGTTTTTTTCTTGGTTTCAAACATGTTTCATTGCCTGTGACCTGGGAAAATTGCCCAAACGGGATGAACCGATGCAAAGCCCTTTCCTGCCAGACCCATTAAGCAAAACAAGTAAATGCAAAATGAATCAAAATGATGCGAATACATCGGTAGATGCAGAATGATACACGCACCCAAACCCACAGAAGACCAGCTATTCAATCCTGTTGGCTTGTTTAGAGAGAATTGTTTTGCGGCATTGCCACCACACAAACACATTTATACACAGAATATAGATGAGTGTGTACTATTCATGTAAAGAGAAAGGCAACACGTTGTTGCATACAGCAACACGCACACACACTTAAACATATATATATATATATACTCCCCTAAAAGTAGATGGCTCAGAATCTTGAGTTGCGCCATCTATGTCAAAAAAAAATGGGGGATAGATGGCTCAACTCCCTTTAAAACAGGGCAGTTGAGCCATCTATGTCCCTAAAAATGACATATTTTTTGCAATCTTCTGCGCTGGTTTCTCCCCTTTTTTTTTCTCAACATCAAGCTGCTTTTTTGGGACTATGTGGGCATTCCCAGCCTGATTTTGGCGAAATGACGGAAGTTGTTTTTTGAGCCAGCAAAGGTCGAGACGCTTTAAAACCCAACTTTAACAAGTTCAAGTGACCTGAGGAACCGTTTTTGCCGTCAAGAATCGGTTCCTCAGGTCACTTGTTAAAATTTGGTTTTAAAGCGTCTCGACCTTTGCTGGCAAAATGACGGAAGTTGCGCCATCGATGTCCCAAAAAGGGACAACTCTGATGTCTTTCCTGTTGGTTTTGCCTCCTGTCTTGGGACAACTCTGATGTCTTTCCTGGTGGTTTTGCCTTCTGCCTTGGGATAACTCTGATCGATGTGGCATATTTTGGTTAGGTTGGTTGATGGACGTCGGGAGATATGAGGGAGTTGCGCCATCTATGTGGGCATTCCCAGCCTGATTTTGGCGAACGAGTTGGAGTTGCGCCATCTATGCCCAAAAAGGCAGCTTGATGTTGAGAAAAAAAATGGGGGAAAACCAGCGCAGTGCCAATTTTCCACTTGGGTTCGCCCCGGAAAACGGACCCCACCAAGTGTCAAGTTTCCTTTGGCGGGATTCTGGCGCAACTCATTTTTGAATTCACCGAAAAAATGATTCTGGCGTTTGAATGGGATTTATGGGACATAGATGGCGCAACTCATTTTATACAATACAAATTTGTGCAATTTCACCGTATATACAAGCAAAAATGATAGGAAATGTAGTAAATTTAGTTAACAATACCCTTATATCCATCTACTGGAGTGGCAGTTGCGCCATCTACCTTTTCATTTTAAAGTAGGGCGATTTTTTCTTCAATTGGCGGACCTCGTTTTATGTTCCAGCTAAAATAGCGCCGTTTTCTTTCTCAGCGCGCGGTGCCATCTTATGGGTATTTTGGTTTTTGAGTTGAGCCATCTACTTTTACCCCAGTATATATATATATATAGATATATAATATTATATTATATATATATTAGTGTTAGCTATACATATACAGTAGGTGTCCACTGTTTTTTCCCTGCAGGCGCACATTCTAAAGGCAACATTCCCATATTCAGAACATCGTCGAAACCAAATTTTCATCATACTCCAGACCTGGGTTTTGGTATGTTACTTTATTTCAGCTCAATGTGAAGGGAATGGTTTGGCCAGTGAATTTTTGCATGGTGTGAAAACAACATACAAAAAACACTGGTGTGTCTGTCGAGGTTTGGGCTGGGATTGGGAACTAAATTTTTAACCGTCTCTATTGGCCTTTCTTGATTTTCTAGGCGCGCATTCTCAAAAATTAGCGCGTTGGAAGGGACCTGCGCACTCCACAGGCGTCATCGCACTCCACAGGTGTCATCGCATTCACCACACATACTCAGATACCATCGCGCTCCAGAACGGGCATCGCATGCCACAAAATCTTCGTATTCGGAACGCGAAATTGATTTTACATGTTTTTTCGTCTCAACAGTTTTTTTCTCCTCTTTTTAAGCTAAAATGGCCTGGAATCACAATTCCTGGAATACGGGGAAGATGGAGTTCCCACCTGAAACCTTTAGAGTTTCACATACGATCGCATTCCATGCAAATCTGGTTCTTTTGAGCTCACGGATGTTTTTTCACGAAAGCTAGCGGTAGCTAGCTGAGTAACTCTTGCTTCAGCAAGGGGAGGGGCAGGTCTGAGTCCACACAGTGATTTTTCACACTTGAACCCCCCTCCCCCCTCCCCTAAGCTCCCGGGGCATTTTGAAGCAGTCTCGGAAGCAGATGGTTACGGGCTCGAATCCTGCCAGGGCCGTCCATTTGTTGTTTTTTTTTCCCTGTCCATTTGATGGCCGCCAACACATTCCGCAGCCGATAGACAATTGTATATATATATATACATAGTTGTGTGTATATATATATATACACATATGTATATATATATATATACATATATATATATATATTTATATCCATGCATAGTCATGTATATACATACACATTATATAAAATTATATATATATATATACTGAGATGTGATGCAGGGCACAAACAGCATCCATCACCGACACATTCCGCAGCTGCCCAGCCATAAAAAGAAAGTTGTCAACAAACATATATGTACAGTCATGCTCTCTCATTAGATTTGGTTGAGTATATATGAGTATATATATATATATACATATTGGATCATATTGGTGCATATATATATATACAATACATAATTGTATATATACATACTGTAGTTGTGTATATATATATACACACATGCATAGTCATGTATATACATACACATTATATATATATATATACACATATGTGTATATATATATATACATAACTATGTAGCCCAATGCAAGCACGCCGCTTGCTGAGATGTGATGCAGGGCACAAACAGCATCCATCACCGACACATTCCGCAGCTGCCCAGCCATAAAAAGAAAGTTGTCAACAAACATATATGTACAGTCATCCTCTCTCATTAGATTTGGTTGAGTATATATGAGTATATATATATATATATAAATTTGTATATATATACATATACAATACAGTTGTATATATACATAGTTGTGTATATATATACACATGCATAGTCATGCATATACATACACATTATATATATACGCATATGTATATATATATATACATAACTATGTAGCCCAATGCAAGCAAGCCGCTTGTTGAGATGTGATGCAGGGCACAAACAGCATCCATCGAGCTCTTTCTGCTTCAGGTCAACCAATTTAAGTCCAATGATTTTTTTTGGGGGCTGGGGCCCAAACTTTCCAAAGACACCATCTTCTTTCATTTCGATGTTTTACGACCCCCACAGAAGCCTACATGTTGTCCGGATACAAAGATGCCTCACCAAAACAGTCTCCTCGATATCCTTCTTTTTGATTCGGGTCAAAGCTGTGTCGATTTGAGCCCCATCGAAAATTACAATTTTCAATGGGGCCCAAACTTTATCATAAAGTCACCATCTTCTTTGGTCCACATGTTCCAAACTTTCTAGAGGCACCATCTTGTTTGGTTCTGATGTTTTCCGACTTGCAGCAACCGCCTACGTTTTGTTCGCATGCGCCAGATGCCTCACCAGAATTTAAGCTCCATGGCGTTCTTTCTAACTCAGGTCAACACTGTGTCGATTTGAGCCCCATGGACAATTATAATTTTTCGATGGGGCCCAAACTTTATCATAAAGTCACCATCTTCTTTGGTCCACATGTTCCAAACTTTCTAGAGGCACCATCTTGTTTGGTTCTGATGTTTTCCGACTTGCAGCAACCGCCTGCGTTTTGTTCGCATGCGCCAGATGCCTCACCAGAATTTAAGTTCCATGGCGTTCTTTCTAACTCAGGTCGACACTGTGTCGATTTGAGCCCCTATGGAAAATTATAATTTTCGATGGGGCCCAAACTTTATCATAAAGTCACCATCCTCTTTGGTCCACATGTCATGTTCCAAATTTTCTAGAGGCACCACGGCGGCCTACATGTTGTTCGCATGCGCCAGATGCCTCACCAGAATTTAGGCTCCATAGCGTTCTTTCTAACTCAGGTCAACACTGTGTCGATTTGAGCCCCATGGACAATTATAATTTTTCGATGGGGCCCAAACTTTATCATAAAGTCACCATCCTCTTTGGTCCACATGTCATGTTCCAAATTTTCTAGAGGCACCACGGCGGCCTACATGTTGTTCGCATGCGCCAGATGCCTCACCAGAATTAAGGCTCCATAGCGTTCTTTCTAACTCAGGTCAACACTGTGTCGATTTGAGCCCCATGGACAATTATAATTTTTCGATGGGGCCCAAACTTTATCATAAAGTCGCCATCTTCTTTGGTCCACATGTTGCAAACTTTATAGCGAAACCGTCTTCTAACTTTTTCTACTACCCATGCTTCGCGTCTACCCTTCCCTGCATGTTTCCGAGTTCACCTCACCTAGTGCCACATTCATTTGCCATTTAGCTTTCGTTCACCCCCCCCCCTGGGCCTCAAGTTCCAGGCACTTCAGCAGGGTCGGCGGGGCCAAGTGTGAAACTTTTCTGGTATGTGAAAACACTTTTGAATGGTGTAGGGTCTATTGGGATCCATTGGGGGGCCACATTATACTGAATCTTTCTCACATACCGGTTAAACCGGTTACCAGAAAATTATCGTACTCCCGGGGTCTCGTCATCGTACCCCATGGTTTGACATTCTACATTTTGGGTGTTTTTGGTTCAAATCAGGGGTCATTTCAAACTTGTGTGCTGAAAGAAAGGGTTTTTTTGGGGCAGGAACATGTGCCGTCGACAATGCGGTAACAATCATCATGAACCATCATTTCACCTTGACCAGGTCTTTGCATTTTTTTGAATTTCAGAGCTATTTTGGCATGGAATATGATCGGCCCCGGAATATGGGTAAGAAATTGTTAGACACATTGCTAAGAGAGAATGCGCAGTGGCCGGAACTGAGGCCCTACTTTCCGGAAACCTTCCTGTACGCTTCACTTTCATTCACTTCAGCACACCCGCAAGACGCAAGCGTTCGCACTCAGCAGCTTTGCCTGAAGTTATCACGGGCAGGTGGCACATGTTGGCGCGGTTGGCACGATTCCCAAATCATGAGAGTCCTGCCATCGCTATCAGCTGCTTTTCGTGGTCAGGTCTGAGATTGCGTGGCCATTCACATTCCAAGGCATCCAGACGCAATCCGGTTGTCCCTGGAACTGGGGTCATAAAGGCGGTTGACACAGCGCAATGTGAAGTTCTGTACTTTCAGGCAATACTTTATGAAGTTGAACCAGTTGAACTAGAAGAGTGGCAGACACGACGTGAGACTCCGATGGCCAGTAAATTGTGGAAAGATTGTTGCATGCTTGGTGCTAAGGTCTGAAGACTTGAAGATACTTAGCTTGGCACAACATCACATGAGTCAAGGATAGACTCTGCCCTTGCTTTAGTATCACTTCAAGAAGATTCGGAGCACGGATGTGCAGTGTCGCGACATGTTTATGCCATGTTTATACCTATTTCCATATATATTTAGTGTATATGTATATGTATATATATATACTATACTATACTATACTATACTATATTACATTATATTATATTTTATTATATTATATTATATTATATATATTATATATATTATATTATATATATTATATTATATATATATATCATGTTGAATTGAGATCTCTTTGTAGATTGTTTGCCTTCAAGGGCATAGAATAATTTTATAGATATTTATATATAGAATGAGATTCCCCAGACAGCTTAAAGAGCATGGCAAAGTGTGAAAGGACTTTGAATCTTCTTCACTTTTAAGTCGTTGTTTTGAAATACCTGACAGCGTGATTTTGCGCTACAGACCATGTGTCAGACCACGCGGTCAAGTGGGGCCATGTCGGTCACAAAAGACCTTGAAAGGAACCTGAGCCGGTCAAGTGCTGTTGTTCCTCTTACATGTTGTGCACATTCAAAGGTTTCGCAGCGTTGCCACCACCGAATATTGATGATCATTCTCAATGCATCTTAATGCCAACAAGTCTTTCGTGCAAACCGCTGATTGCGCATGTGGAACAACAGATGCATTCCAAAGCATGTATAGGTCCAATTATTTGATGGACGTCCGAAATTCACATGTGCTATGGTCAAAACGAGGGCCATCTTCTCCCATGTTTGGGAATGTCTCTATTCTCTATGATTATTCCATATCAATCCAAATCATTCCATTTGTCGCAGATGAATGGTTCACAATATTTCAATGATGAAACATCGCTGCGCCGCTAGTTAGGAGTTGGGATGACCATTCCCTGCGTGTTTGGACCATGGCACGTATGCACTTGCAAGTCCCATGCTACTTGCAGCTTTCCATTTGTGAGCCCCACGTTGTTCACAAATTTCCTTTGTGCTTGACTTGCTTCGTGGTGGCGTCTCCACATGGCACACCATGCTGCGTTCTTGCGGCAGTGCCCCATGTGCACTAAATGCCAAGGGCTTTCCCAGACAACCATGCGAAAACATTATGAAAAATATGACAGAATTGAAATAGCTTGATTCATTGATGTATTCAAGTGTTGGTTGGGAGGGCTGATCTTTTTTTTGCAAAGGAAGGGCCATTCGCAGCAGAACTGTCAGGCCGATCGGTCCAAACTTATTTGGCATAACTATCAGGTATTCTTAGGTTAGTCAGGTTACTCAGGTTTCGTGATTTTCATGTTTGGATTCGAGCCTCCAAACTTCTGCGACTGCTCTGCAGGATTCCGAAACGTGCAGAGCATGGCATCCAATGTATGCCCTGCCCTGCGCAATGCGCCGAATAAAGATGAAAAAAAGTCTGGGAGCCATCTTGTGCTTGTTTTGCAACTTTGCCCTGTGCCATTGCCATACATCTCTGATGTTCTTTCATCTTGTGGAGCTATGTAGGTGAACTGGGGCATGTACTTGAACCCAGCCAGCATTCATATGGAAAATTATGGAACCTAAATTGCTGTCGTTTTTCAGCAAGTAACCCCGATGTCGTCTTACTGCGCGCCCGAGGTCCAGAGGCGGAGGTGAGGGATTTCAGAGTTTTCTGACCTCAATGCAATTAATATCAATTATAGCGGCACTATAATTAATTTTAATCAATTCAATTTCAACGTAGTATGAATCAATAAATTTCAGTTGTTGGAAGCCAGTCAGATATTAGGAGACAGACTGTGCACGTCGCACCTGTAGTTTTGAACCTTGTGTAGAAAGTGCTTTTGCAAACTTCAGTGAAACTGTTGAGGCCGCCCAGACTGTGTCAAGACCTCAAACTGGCAGAACCTTGCACGTCCCTTTTTGCAGTGTGCATGCGCCACATACTGGTACCATCACATAGCAATTTTGATCAATTATGTTGCTACATTTACGCCACGTTTCATCACATGTCCTTTGTGAATAAGTTGCGGGTAATGGCAAAGTTGATTCAACTTGATGCAAGATAGCCAGCCGATTTACGCAGAGTACTCTGAGCAAGGTGGACTCCAAGAGAAACATGTATACAAACCAGTCAGAAGAGGACATGAGAACTCTGTCGGAACAGGTCCGAATTGATCAAAAGGCAAGGGGATGAAGTTCGGATGAAGTTCGGATGAAGTTGATGCATTGGATCATCCAAGGTCAATGGTCATCCCCCAGGCTCGATCAGTGCATCATCCATTTGGGGATCCTGGGGGCTACCCTCCCTGCTGCATCCTGCACAAAATATCCAAGTCCAAAGTTTGCAGCAGGCCATAGCAGGCCGTTTGCATTGCAGGTCCTTTGAATCGATCACACATACTGACACACTATGACAATCTATGACACACTGGGGTACCAAGATGTACCAAGTATCAATGCAATTTGATTCTGGTGAGAAATGCTTCATGTTCCTGTGCGCAACTTCGCAAGTGAAGTCCGCAGATGATGCTCCACAGCTGTTCCGGCTCCGTATGGACGCAAAACAGGGGAGACATTAGAGAGATTGACGGAGAAATGATGTGAAACATATGGAAATCCATGGAAATCCTCGCAATCATTGCCAACTTCAGGTTGCACAGTTTCCAAACGCCCACATAGGAACAAGCTCCAGACAGTAAGCTAGGCCGCTGGCCGCCAGGCACTTGTGCAATCTCATCATGTTCAAAGATGTTCAAAGTATTTCAAAGTGCGCTCTCATTTTCATTTGTCAAAGCGCCCGGGATTTTCACAGTTTCTGTTGTTTTTCTCCGCAGCTTAGACCTGAAAGCACGAAAGATCAAATTCAGAAGGAGACCCAGCCGGGCATGAGCCGGGCAAAGCGCAGAGCATGGACGCTGCCATTTTGGGCGGCGCTTTTGCTATGGGGCCACTGGCAGGAGCCGAGATCGAGCAGTATTGGCACGATCAAAAGGTAACACATGCGATATGTTGTAGGTACAAGAGTAGTTAACGTGACACGTAAAAACTGATTGTTTGAAAAACATACAGGGAGGTATTTTGTTGTTTTTTTTTGTGAGTTTTTCCCCCACCTGCCAGGAAAGATGACGGATCGAATAGATGCCAGAAAGAATGGCAGATAGAACGTTATATTCGCCATATATTATCCCAGGATATCCCAGGTGATATGTCAGAAAATTTGGGGTGTGGATCACTCGAAGCACAGTAATTTCGAGGCAACAGATAGTGCCGGTCAGGTTTTGTAATGGTTTTGGTTGAAGTTTGTGTTTGCACACGCGATGAAGCATCGCAACACCCCATCTGCGGCATCTCAACTCATCACAAATCAAACCCAGAAATATGTTTTGATATTCGCATGATGTTCGTGCAATATTTAATGATTTGTGTGTCATATTTCACATTATTTCACCTACCTTGGGAACGGAAGGAGCTCTTCACGGGCGGCCCAGCACGTCGTTTTGTGCGGAGGTTCCGCTGGAAGTTTCAGTTTTGGCAGGGCGGCTTTGCCTTTGATTTGTCGAACATGTTGGAAAAAATTGGAAAAGTAGGACATGACATGGTAGGAGCACATAGCTGACATAGCTGAGTATATAGAAGAACGTAAGACTTTTTTCCACGAGTGAACACAATAGTTTAAGATGCAGGTTTAAGGTTTCCCATTGCGAAGGTTTCTGAATGCACACACCGCACTGAATATGTTGTGATTTGAAGGACGAAAACATGTTTATCATCGGCTTCTGCGAGGCAGGGGTGCTTGCAGACATTTTCAAATTTCCTATAGATTTGTTGTTGATTTTCTAGGTGATTTCATGCAGATATTTACATGATTTAAACATGTTCAAACATATTCAAGAGATTTCAGGGGGCCAGTCATTGACAGAATGCCTGTGGTGCAAATCTTGACATATCTTGACGCTTTGCGCTGATTTTCATTCCTGTTGCAGGAACGCATCCCTGGAATTTGGTAGTCCTGGAAGCGTGGCCTCTTGGTAGCAAATGCAGTGGTGATAAAATTTGTTCGACTATATAATATATTGATTATATTGCAACAATGTTTGCATGTGCCCAATTTGACGTCAGACCGTCGCAGCCCGCATATTTTGAACATCAGGCCGGCACTGCAGCGTATGCAGCGTCATTCGCCCAAGACTTCCCTGACGCATCGGACTTGATCGAAGAGATATTTGAGCGCTGGGACAGGCCAGGAGGGCGACGACATTGATGGACCATGGATGACGATGGGCTCTATGGGCTCTACGAAGGCAAATCCAAAATATATCACGCAGTTGACGAGTTCATTTGAATTATCATGAATTATCCTTTGCAGGGGATGGTGAGGGTCCTTAACATCCCTAACTTATTTGGGACGTCCTGAATATTCTGCCACTATGGGGCAGATACATGCAGATAGGATCTCAAGGCAGATCTCAAACATCCTGAGCCTTTCCATTGTTTTTCATTGACATCGGTTTGTTAAACATTGTTAAAACATGTTAGAACATGTTAAAACTAAAACAGTTTGTTGCGAACATGCTGTCAATGCATGTCAATGCTGTCATATGCCTCCTGCAGTGATGGAAGTGGCGAGCTTTCATTGGATGAGCCGGGCACCCGGGAGATGCTGCATTCGACTGGCCAGTTGCATCACCGTGGGCATTTGGATAGAATTGGGCGATGGCGTACGGGCGGTAAACGTCTTTGCTTAACACATTGCAGACTGCGGAATGTGTTGGCGTTAGAATTTTAGAAAATGCATCTGGCTCAAGAATATTTTAGAAAGCCTTGATGCCAAGAATGCGAACATCGTTTCGAGCTAATTGCAAAAATCATGGGGCCCTTCGTTGGGCTGCCTGTGCCGGTTGCTGCACCATCTCAGGGTGGCATGCTATGTGGCATGATTGGCATGTGCACCGGTCATGACCGTCGCGGGCCTCGACTTTTCGCAGCTCTGACTCTGACATCTCTGACATCTCTGACCGGTCGAGTTCGGTCGCGTCGGTCGAGTTGGTCGAGTCAGTTGCGAACTTTGGGCCCTTTGCCTTTGCAAGTCGCTGCGTCGGCGAAGCCGGAGACGTCGCAGACCCTGTCGAAGAGAGCGAAGCTGATGCCCAGGATGCTAGAGGCAGTCGATAGGGTCATGGTAGTCGGGTCCGAGTCGGGCAAAGTTGGGCAAAGTGTCAGTGATGTCAAGCTTGGGCCACGGATGCTCCGAGCCACAACTGATGTGGAAGCTGGAGAAGTGATGCTGAAAGAAAGGCCGTTGCTCACTTGGCAGCGAGGATCCGCCCTTGAGACAGCACAGAACGCTCTCTCCACCTTTGCCAATCTGCCTAAGCGTGTGAAAGAACAGATCCGAGGGTTTTATTGTCCAGCAGACTTACCTCCAGGAGTCAAACTACTTGAAGATGCTTTTGAAAAACAAGAGCTCAAGCTTCTCTCCACTTTTGAGGTCTGTTGTTCTGGCGCTATTCCAGGCTCAGTGGCTCTTTTTCAGCATGTGGCCTGCGCTAATCACAGCTGCAGACCCAACGCGGCCATTCGGACCAGCGCAGACAACGAGCTGCGTTTCATAGCCCAAAGATCCATTGCAGAAGGAGAAGAGATTTGCATCTCATACATCGGTGATGACCTGTTGTTAAAGCCATGGAACCTTCGCAGAAAGGCTTTACGAAGTTGGGGATTCCGGTGCAAGTGCCCACGTTGTGCTGCCGATTTTGATGATACCCGAGGCCAGACGTTGAAGCCGTCCAAGTGGAAGTCTTCCAGGCCGCAGAAAGATCGAGAGGATCAAGAAGATCGAGCGGAATCTGATCTTAGAGAAAGAAATGAAAGAATGATTGAAGGTCGCTGGTGGCGGAAGTTGATGCAGCTGAGGCCAGAGCAGGAAGCTGCTGAAGATGCTCGGATGCGACGTTTGGCACTGGGCCTCGGCACCCAGAAGCATTGGCAACGACGTGCAGAGCGGCTGCGGCAGCAGAAATGGTTACAGAATTTGGTGGTTTTCTACCAGAAGCTTCACTCGGAGATGGACACGCTGGACACGCTGGACACGCTGGACACGCAGCTCAGCTCCCATTGGTTCCTGTCCACCGTGTCTCGCGATGTATCAGAAGCTCATTTGTGGAGAGGTGAGGTTAAAGAAGCAATCGCAGCTGCGAAGTATTGGCGCCGTTTTGTGCATGATTTGTTGGGCACAACTATGTCCTTAGAAGCTCGGCGTGGATCAACAAAACTTTTCAAAGTTATGGCATATTATATACCCCTATGTTCCCCCTTGATCCTACTGTTTGGTTAAACATGTTAAAATGTTCGGTGCTGATCCGGGATGATTGGGTCCGGTTCGCATCCAGTTCAGAGATGCAGACATTCTCGGAGTTACGTCGGAGTTCACCCGTTGTTTGAACATGGCTCAACATTTGGCTCAACATTTGACATATTTTGACATACATTGACTCAACACAACAGAGACTCAACATAACTCAACCCTCAGGAAGCGTCCTTGGCATTGGAAGTGCAAGCAGCGGCCACAGAGATGCAAGGTCTACGCTATAGCCGCTATGACGCACGGGAGCTGTACAGAAGTGTCTTGATGGAAGCAGAGCCTCTTCACAACGAATGGGACGAGACAGATTTCTTTGTGCCCTACTTGAGGAGACGGGTGGATGAGCTCACATAGCATTTGCATAGCCTTCGCTCAGAACATGCTTTGCCCATTCCACAACGGCCCAAAGTCTATGCTTGGAATGCTTAGGTCTGAAGTGACAAATGCACTCAATAATTACGTACTTCTTGAGCACGAAGTGCATTGGAGATACCACCATCCTCGACAGAGCGTGAGTTGGCACTGCGGCAAGGCAGGTGAAGAGTGACAACGACTGCCAAAAGCAGGTCAGCGCAAGGCCAATGGAATGTCATGAGCAGGTCGTGCAAAACATAAGCAGGTCGTTTGAAGTGCATTGCTTCTGCACGCTTCTGCCCATTTCTGCCGTGAGAGTGCCTCTATTCATTTCTACTCCAGCTCATGGCAATTGTGAGAAACGCGCTGTGACTGTTTCTCAAGATTTTTCGGAAGGCCGAAGTCGTGTAGTGCTGTCAGCCACTTCACAATCCTCTGAAAAGACGCCACTATGATCCTTTATGTATATGAAGCAGCAATCCCAAAGTCAGGTGTTCCAGTGGCTCTCTAAGAGCGTCGGAATCCATGAGTGACTTCGCTCATACCATACTTTCCTTGGAAAGGGGCACAATAGATTGCAATGGATTTCAAATGATTTCAATTGCAAATAATTGCAATAACTTTTTACTACCCATTTTCCTATGATTCATACTATACTATACTATGATCGATGAGTGCTGTGGTACTTACATGTACTTACATCATGCATACTCAAGTCACTCGAGTCACTCAAGTGACTCAAGTGACTCACCGCTGCACTGTTTCCATATGATTTCTACTGTATGTGATTTCCATACAATTTCTATATGTTTCTATATATTTCTATATTGTTTCGGTACCAATCTGATCCAATCTGTACCTGTGCAGCGGTGTTATGCGGTGTTGAGGTTCCGGGAAGGGTTCCAGAGAGATGGCGCTTTGCTGAAGCCACGCCCCAGGAGATCTCACGGCCACGAATTCCAATCGTATCCAGTACTTGTCCTATCTTGTCCTATCTTTACACGGAAAAAAAAAGGTCTACGCTATGTAAGCTATATATCGTTATATTAATGACCATTTTCCAAAAATAATTGAGGAAAGTTTTGTACCAGTGGTTGGTAATGCTCTGTATTCTGGATCTATTGGTTTTTTCTCTTCTTTATCAGGCAGGATGCACCTAAATTCACCAATTCTGGAAGGCAGCGCTAGCTGACCCGCTACTATAATAGGTTTGCGCTAGTTTTTTGTTCACATCCATGTTCAAAGAGATTGTTTATGTGTTCCTAGATGCTTGTTATTTCAACATGAAGAAAAGTTAAGATGTAACACTTTGTGCCTGAAACCTAAGGATGTCTCAGTGAATTTCTGTGGTAGTCAACAATTTTCCTATATGTTCATATAATTTTAAGGTTGTCGTTCAATTGTGCGAATTCGTACGTACTTTTATGCTAGATCCCCGTTAGCAATGCCCTAGCTAAAGTTGCAAGAAGCGTCTTTGGCTGACCCGTGACTTGCCGCAAGAGAACTTGTATTACATTGTATAGTTCATCCTTTATGTTTGACAAAAGCAACAGAGACAGCAAAGGCAACAACAAGCCCTGCGGCAGCTGAAAAATTATGCCAGTTCCACGACTAATTAATAAATGGCAGCGGCACCCACTCCATAGACGCGTGTTAGCATTTCCTGCAGGTTTTAGTATGGTTTTAGCTACGGTTTCAAACATGAAAGATAAAATGCAGGGCTTCAAACTATTTAGATAAGTCAAATCATACCAGTAGTTTTAAAGACCAAACAAGAAGCGGCACGCGTGGAATTACGATTTATCAACCAAAAAGAAGAAGACAGACAATTTGACAAACCGTCATATAACTTATATGAGTTATACGAGTCTTATATATATATATGTATCTAGCACATTATAAGTGAGATTAGAAGAATAATTAAGAACATGATGGATATTACGCATATACACGTACTGGCATCAAGTACAGACTTACGGATACTTTATTAGTTACTTAGTGTTTTTTTCATTTTTGTGATTCTTGTCAGCAAGATTATTTTTTCCTTTCGGTTCAATGTTGTGCTTTTGGTTGCAAGGACGCCAAGCTGTCAAGCTGATTCCCATCCCAGGACCTCTTTCCGCGAAGTCTTGGTTGATTCCGTTGCAGGCTCCGAAGAGTCGCATGAAATGAGTTGCTTCATGCTTCAACTTATGCGACAACTCATATTTCCTCATGATCAGTTTGAGCAGGTCTCATTTCCCGCACTTGGGATGGTGCTAGCGCGAATGCACAGGCATTGACAGGCGAGCACTGAGTTGCTGCATGATAGCACTACAGATCACTTGGATGGGAATGGGACACACAGGATGAAGTCTGTGCGGATCTGTACGGGTTCATGGGCTTCATTTCAGGTCGTAGTGATTTTGTCTAGCGATAGGAGGTCCACAATTCATAATCCAGAGGTGCCGTGTGGGATGCCACCATGCAGCGTGACTTGGATGCAAAGGCTGACAGCTTGGGAGGCCTGCGAAAAGGGTTTCAAGAACGTTTTTGACTTGCGAATTGAACATAATTTTGTCATCACATACGTATATATTTAATTATATTTATACATCAAACATCAACAAATATGACAAAATATGAACTTGGACTTGCTCGACTTATCTCGATTTGTCTCCAGCTCCATCCTGGACGGCTGAGGCGTGGCTTGTGTGGGGGACGGGTGTCGAGTTGCATGGCGCGATGGAACGCGCCTGGTGCGCTCGGCTCCCACCGCAGTGGGGCAGGCGGGGTGCTAATAACGCCAACTTCTCATAACTTCTCAGGGCTCACAGCGTTTATGCATGTTTATAATCATGTTTATAATCATGTTTATAATTTATACATGACATGTTTATACATGTTACACTATGTGACACCATGTGACACTGCTTGTGAAAACAGCACAAACGTCTCCATACAATATCATGATGATCATGAGCTGCAGATTGCATTTTCGCAGTATTTCTTGCATTTTTTTTGGTGTGTTTTTGATGCTTAAAGTGACTCTGGTCATGTTTGGTCCAAACATGTCCAAACTGAAAGGCAAGCTGGAATGATTAGATGGGAAAGACATAGAAAGACTTTGTGATCTGCAGGCCATTCTCAATGGAGAGGGTCGCTTCGTTCCTTAGCCGCATGCGGTGCAAATTTATTTCATCGCTGTGGCCGTTGGGAGACCAGCAATGCCATTAGCATCATTACTCGTAGATTGCCATTTATTAACATTAGTCGCCGTAGCGGCTTAGTGTAGGGTTCCATCGCAGTCCTCTGTTTCGCCGCTGTCATTACTGTGGTTTTAGCTTCTCAGTGGACACACATCTCTGGAACAACCCAATCTGAGCAGCAAAACACAAGAGTTGAACAAGAGTTGAACATATTTGATTATATTTGAACACCTTGTCTAATTTGTCTACCTTGGGTTTCTTTACCTCGCTTCAGCATTGACGAAGCTTGTGTAGACAAAACAACACATGCAATTCCAACAACTACCAGAAATAAATACCATTAAAATCCATTAAATACCAGTCAAGGAGTCAATCCCGAGTTTTCAAACGAAGTTGACAATTCCGATGATTGAAGAGCTGCCTTCAGCGCCATGCTTCTACTTGTCTCTGCTGCCAGCAGCGGGCAACGAATACAGCTGGACCCAGTCTCTTTGCAGCTGTCCTCTGCCAATGAGGCCTCTGAGATGCCTGTCAATCGCACTGTCCTTTAACACTCTTTAAATCTTTTTGACATTCCGTCATATTTCTTCAACAATACTATCCATGTGTCCAGCACCCGGTCATGCACATTTATACGGAGTACTTGTATGTGTTGATTTGTTGATATGTAGCCCAACAAAAACACAACGGAGCACTTCATGCATCTCTTGCAAAATCCTGCAGATTTGTCCGCTCCAGTTCCAGGCCTCCTACCGTTGCATGTTGCAGATGAAATGCATCCGCGCCATGCACTTTGAAGCCGAGCTGCGAAACGAAAACGACGAAGTTCTTTGCAGTAGTGGTGCTGTGTCTCTTCGAGATGACGACTGGGTTTGCTTGAGCACGATGGAGACTGCTGCAGGTGATTTGCATAAGTTGCTTAGTAGAAACATGTGGCACGCGGCAACTAGTCGGAACAGGTCACAGAAAAGTGTGGATGGTGTTTTTTTTTTTTGCTGTCTACATCTTTCTGCTAAAGATTGCCTGGTGATGTTGCTGCGTTTGGTTTTCCATCTGTTTGACATCAGGTTGTTGTCGTGTATGAGGGACTGCCCTGGTGGCTGGACCTTCTGCTTTGATGTGAAGGAGCGGCCAGACGGCACAGCCGTGCTGACCCACGTTCGGGTGGTGCGCTCCGGCGCCGGGCCGGAGATCGTGGAGACTGCCGAGGCAGAGACCGTGTCTGCCGTGTCTCACTCTCCAGCTGCAGATGTCGTGGATTGCACGGAACCCGAAGAGCGGCACCCCGTGCACCGGAACTTACTTCGACTCTTTCATCAGCCGCAGCAGCAGATGTTGGACCCAAATTTTTGGAGACAGCTTGTGGGGGACGCAACGCAGTTTCTTAGCATTGGCAACTTTTGGAGTGGAAACGAAGAGCACAGGGAAATGGATTTGGCGGCAAGTCTTCGGGACATCAATTTCACAGGTTTCTGCCGTGTGCAGATGCCATTTAATGCTTTGCAGGAGCTAGCTGTGGCCATGGAGAGGTTGCAACAGAATGGCTTTCCTCCAGCAGCTTCAGTAGCACAGATTCTGCCCAAAATTTTCTAGCCGTTCGAACTAGTTACAATGTTACAACATGTTACAACTATAGTTGCATTTTTTTAATTCAAATTTATGATATTGATGAGTGAATCGAGGACGACAAAAAGCAAGAGGGGAAGTATAAGACACACACACATATATATTATAATCAATTATAATTATAATTATATTTACACATTAATTCATAGGCACACGGCACGCATGATCACATATGTCAAAAGCGGCAGAGAAGCGAATCGAATCTGGTCAGCTAGCTTTGCACGGTTGATGAGTGTTTCAGCTTCCCTTGCTCCAATGCCTGCCGTTATCCAAGGTATTTGTTTTTGTTTTCGACCAGCCGTGGCAGATGCTTCATGAGCTTTTTCAGCCTGTTGCAACTTTGCTGGGCAAGAGTCCGGATGAGATGCACATGAGCCTCTCAGTCACATAGCTCACAATACCATACAATACCCATCAGATCCCATCAGTTCTGAGATGCAGTCTGCAGGTGACGCATGGTGACCCGTATAGGTGGTTATTATAGGCCCAAGTGGTTATAGGCCTGCATCCAAGCTTAAGAATGGCATTCGAAAATCGTAGACATAGAAAACCATTGACATGGCAGCTTGCCAATGACGTTGTGTTGGCTGAGCGGCTGCTCACGTGCTCACAATTTGCCAGTGAGGTTTTTGCGTGGGCTCTTCAATGTGGTGTTTCTGAGCAGGCAGGCAGCAACTTTGGACGTGCGCACCGAGACAAGAGCTACGACGACTCCCATACCGATGGCCGCGTTGGGATGCTGACCACTTGGAATCCCAGTTTGATTGCACGGTATGGTAAGGTTTGGATCACGATATGCTGATATGCATGACATGAATAATTATGCACGGTACGACGGTACATATGGACACATGTGGTACGTATGCGTATGATTGATATGATTGCACATGAATTTTCCGATTTCTGATTTAGTTCAGAGCCATTTGGAGCCACTTTGCCCACTCTTGGGGTCCATTTTACGAATTTTTGGAAATGGCTTGGATTTTAGAACGCCGAGCTGAGGATTCCACTGACGCCAGTGGGACCGGAGGATGGCTGTATGCATGTGGTACCATCCGCCTTCGATGAACTGTTCGACTCTTCAGATCCGAAGCATTTGCGGCCAGAGACACCAGAGACACCAGAGACACATGGTGAAGCACTGAGCTGCAAAGCTGGAGAGGCTGGATCTGGACTCGAAAATTGATTTGGTTCAATGGTTCAATTATATGAATTATATGTTTAATTTCTTTCTTGTGGTTTCACTCTGATTTATGTCTCACTTGATTTTGGACACAGAGTCATCCATCAAAGCAGGGATGGCACAATATGTATGTATCTATATTATTCATATTATTCTATATTTATATATGAATCTTTTTGCTGTTGGGTATTGTCATGCCTGGATCTGATAGATTATGTAATATAATACTATATAGTTGTTCACAGTGTTTCTTGTTGTTCAGTTTGTCATTGCCCACCAAATTCAAAGATCACTAGCCAATTTCCTGCTGCGCGGTCAGTTCTCCAGTTCAGGTGCTGATTTGGAAGGTCTCTTGGTGGAACTGTGAAGGCTTTCAGAAACACTGGAAGATCTGGAAGACATTTCTCCTTCAAAATCTTCAAAATACGCCGGTGCTCCCTTTAAATTTATCAAATCCTTCTGGTCCACTGGCATAAGAGGATGACCTTGGGGCTGACGGCTGGGGCAATCTTGCATTCCTTCATGGCCCTTCCGAAACTTCTGAAATCTTAACTTCCATAGGGTATGATGGTCTTCGGTGCAGTGCAGACGAGTCAGAACCAATTGCCATCCGATTGCCTATGTTGCTGGTCGTGTTGTTCTTAGAATCCTGTACGTAGTTGTTGCAGGGCAAGCTTGAGCCAAGCTTGGGACTCTTTGCGTTTCCTTGCTATCAGACAATCAAGTCATGATTTGAAGTCCGGTGTGACCCAAATGAATTGCACAAACCTTTGACGTCCCAGACGTATTCTGTTGCAACCTTGTCGTTGGCGCCGCGGACGGCACAGTGTGCCGCAATCTCTGGGACTCCTAGAGATCTGTGACTTCCCAATGTTGGAGAGATTGGGCAGTGGATTTGTTTTAGTTTTAAGGGTGCCAAATGATACCAGTAGTACCGCACAAGGCGGTGGCGGAAGTTTCAGAATAGGAAACCTATAGGAGACGTTGGTTGTTGTGAATCACGGATGGTAGAGCGAATCCACTGATTGACCGAAAGGTGGTTGGAGTTGTGTTTGCTGGACTGGTTGCACTGGTTGCAGTGGTCACCTCACCCACAACTGCTGGATGTAGTGTGATGTACTGCAACTGTAGTTGTAGTTGTAGCGTAGTGGAGTTGTAGTTGTGGTGTAATGTAATTAGTGTAGTGTAGTTGCAGTCATATAGTTGTAGTTGTAGTTGTTGTGTAGTTGTAGTTGTTGTGTAGTTGTAGTTGTAGTGTAGTTGTAGTTGTAGTTGTTGTTGTAGTTGTAGTAGTAGTTGTTGTTGTTGTTGTTGCTGTTGTTGTTGTTGTAGTTGTAAATGTTGTAGTTGTAGCTGTAGTTCTCGTAGTTGTAGTTGTTGTAGTTGTTGTAGTTGTTGTAGCTGTAGTTGTTGTGTAGTTGTTGTGTAGTTGTAGTTGTGGTTGTAGTTGTTGTAGTTGTTGTTGTTGTTGCTGTTGCTGTTGCTGTTGTCGTCGAAGTTAGGGTAGTTAAGTTAGTGAAGTTAGTTAAGTTAGTCAAGTTAGTTAAGTTAATCAGTGTCTACTTTTTCGACATCTTAACGTCAAAAAAGGCTCAAAACCCTCAGTTTTTTACACTTTTGACTTCGAAATGTGCTTCGCGCCACAACGGCGTGCACTTTTTCACATCCGAACCTCCAAAAGTGGCGCGAACTGTGGTGTTTTGTACATTTTGACTTGGAAACGTGCTTCGCGCCACAACGGCGTGCACTTTTTCGACATCTCAACTTCCAAAAGTGGTCCGAGATGGTGTGTTTTGTACATTTTGACTTGGAAATGTGCTTCGCGCCACAACGGCGTGCACTTTTTCGACATCTCAACTTCCAAAAGTGGTCCGACATGGTGTGTTTTGTACATTTTGACTTGGAAATGTGCTTCGCGCCACAACGGCGTGCACTTTTTCGACATCGCAACCGGAGCCACAAATCATTGGAAAAACACAGTGTTTCGCGACTTTCCTACCTTTTCGCGCATCTGCATCTTCTTTCTTCTGACTCTTTCTCTTCTACTCTTCTCTCTTCTAATCTTTCTCTTCTCTCTGCCTCTGCCCTGCTCTGCTTTTCATCTGTCCATATTGTCGGAAGTTTGACTTCTAAACTTCCTTCGATTACATATATATATATATAGTCAACATTAGTCAGCATTTGTCAACATAGTCAACTCTGCCACTGTACTAGGGCAAAGTCCTCGTCAAGGGTCAAGTCATGTCCACAATCACAGGAATGAAGTGAATGAATTTCACTTGTGTCCAGCCATGCATTGGATTCTATATACTCACCCATTGATACCCATTGATACTAATTGATGTATTGATGCTGTACATTTTGATATTTGCGTTTCAAGGCCAATCTTCGATGCCCAAGATTTGCCAAGGCGAATTTGATCCACTGGGGTGCTAGCTGTACCTCCACCCGGCCACGACGTAGCATGGCCACAGCCTTTGTCACTGAAGACGTGAAGGCCTTTAAGGCTTTGGCCAGCGTCATGCGGCATGAGTTGCCAGAAGATTTGGAGACCAGACTCAGGACGGGAAGGAAGGGATAGAAGGGATAGAAGGGACGCGCAAGCGCGAAGGCGAAGGTCACAGAATATCACAGACCAAACCAAAAACACAAAAAAAGGATGAATACAAGGAGAGATTACGGTAAAGAATCGTAAAGATGGTAAAGATTAAGAAACCGATTAGTGAAAGAGATTAAACGATTTAAACGAGTCACAGTCAAAGACCATCAGAACAATTTGGTCACAATTGATCTCTCAGCAAATGCAGCGGGTGGTAGACGGGTCAAAGGGGTTTCAAGATGTTTCAAGGTGTTATTGGAACATGTTGGAACATGTTGGAACTATGGCAATCTTTTTCATGCCAAGAGGTCAAGATTGGTTGGATGGACTGGTGAGTAAATTAGTTGGGTCTTACAGGTTCGATTTGGCTTATGTCAATGTTTCGTCGAACTGTTTGATAATGTTTAATGATTTTTACAGATTTTTGCCGATGACTTGCCATTGATTTGCCAGGATCATAGTGAAATCCCTCTTGCAGTACAAATCCTGGTATCCAAACTTTCAGGGCCTGGACTTTGTTGGCACGCTTGAAAAATCCTGAAAGGGCAAAACGATGGCAAAAAGGACTCCAGTCGACAACAGCCAAAATGCCTTGATTATCTTGATTTGCTTTCGACATCTTTTGACACTTCTGCACATTTCTGCATATTTCGCAGATGCACGATTCAGAACTTGTTCGAGAATTGACTCTGAAAATCTACGATGCTATGACTTCGAACGAAGATTTGCTTCTATGGTGGCGGCATTGCTCGTACCTGCCCGCTTAGGTGTACAATCTCTTCTCTCGGCAGCTGGCAGTTTTTGTGCCGAATTTTTGGGACTTTTGGCTGCAAGATTTTATGGTACGTATGATAATTATATATAATTATATGATAATTATGATATTGTATGGCACCTAGGCCGAGACACGAGTTTGACCAAAACATGTGTGGAACACTGTGGGACAATGATCAAACAGTGTCGATCAATGCTGGACGGTCCAGTACGGTCCAGCAATTCCAATGTAATTCAATGAGTTATTTCTGGAGAACGGCATCTAGACTCATAGATTCTAGTACAATCACATAGAACCCAATAGGCATCTATAATTGTTTCTTCGCTTGGGACTTGTGGAGAGCAAGTAATGTGTTGTCTATATAGTTGCCAAAATGGCTATGCCATTTTGGCTCAAGTCTCCCGACCTTGGGTTTGTTTGTGTAGAAAAACACTCGATCCTCTATTTGCCGTAATGGCCTCAATATACCCGTCTTCAAGCCCTGTGGCATGTGATACGGTGGCTTCATTTTCGGTATATTGGAAGAGGCTTCCTCGGTGGGAGACGACTACTTGCTTTTAGATACCCCCGCGTCACTTTCGGCACGCCCTGTTGACCAGGAGGAGACCCAACCATTTGCTCCGAGTTTGGTCGGCCCGGATGTGAACATGACTAGGGAAGACATTGAGGCACAGCTCAACGAATTTCAAGACACTGTGTCTCGCCTGGGCCTTGGCCGCTCGACTCGGGACCCCGGCCGGCGCACAGACCGGGTAGCCGCTGGCACCGAGGGTGCTGGACAGCCTGCTCCGCTTCAAGACCCTGGAGAATGAGCTGCTCAACCTGATCCCGGGCAAGAGCTCGGGGACTTTCCTGATTGCGGGGCCACAGAGTCACACGAATGGGGGAAGTCATTATACACACATGGGGTCAGCTGAGCGCCAACCCACGTGATCGGCTGGGAGCCTCCCTATACAGGTAGTTCCACATCGGGATGGAGTGGCCCAACTCTTCCAGTTATGCCCATGGATAGACTCGGTCCCCTCCAGGCTTCTGGAGCGCGTGGTTTGGACCAGACACAGGGGCACTGGACCAGGTCCTTGCCCGCATACGTCCAGACCTCAAGCACAAGATTCTGGCCATTGACATCAAACGCTAAACGGGGCCTGGAACAACATCCTGGATGATGTCATATTTATTCACAACTCTGTACCACCGCTATGGCCGGCCAATGGGACTCGGGGCAGCCCAAATTGTCATATTTGGAGTATTCTTCGATGGTTTCCAAAACCGGGGGCACGCCGGTCTGTCAGGGGACGTGATCCCTCACAGACAGACCTCGGGGCTGGAGTCCAATTCTTTGGAGGAACAAACTGACACTGACAGGGACAGCTTTCAGCTGCTCAGGCAGATGGTCGTTACAGCCCTGGCGCAGGGCGCGAGGACGGTCAGTGGCCCATTCTTTCCTGGAACGCCCGAGAGACGGCGCGGGTTGCCACAAAGTGCTTTCTGTGTCTGGGCCACAGAAGTTTACGCACAGCGGGCCGTGACCCTGAATCACCACCGGCTTCACTTTGACCAATGCCGGCTTGGCCAAGTACCAAGTAGTCCAAAAGAGCACAGCGCTCTCTACCACCTGCCACTTCATCACTGGCAAGGTCTTACGTCCAACCACGGTGAACACGCCAGACCAAAGACGATGCGGTCAGATGTCTGCAGCAAGTAACCGAGACGCAATGATGATGGGACTGGCTCAGGCCATCAGCACCAGTCTTGGCCGAGAGGGACAATTCCAAGACCAAGCCTATACGCACGGGGAGCCACCGGGCAGGACTGACAGATCCTCCTCGGCGCCCCCCCTCTCACAAGCCATGACAATGGCAGATGGCCCCATCATCATCCAATCGGGCTTCAAGAGCAGGCCTTTGCGTGAGGGGGGTGGGAAGCCATCCCCAGGACGACGTCCACCACCAATGCGCCCAACCTCAAGGGTGGCGACTTGGACATCCAGGACGCTGACACTGTGGAAGAGGGGCAGCCCTTCCACCTGCAGTTCATTGCCGCCTTGGCTGCCTATGGTGAAGACATTGATGCAGAATAGCCCAAGGACGTGGCCACAGGAGTGCCATTGGAGTCACATCCCCTACCTGGACCTCTCCCACCGTCTGGCCCGCGAAAGAAGAATTCAAGGCGAAGCAACAGATTGGAACCAGATTCTCATGCCAGTAGGCAGGGACTATACCCATCGGCCAAGGATTTTTCAGAACAAGTCCGGAAGACCTTTGTGGAGGAGGGTGGCACTTGGTATGGTGGAAGGCCTTTACCCCCAGGAGGAAGCAGCCCAAAGATGTGGTTGCACCGTTGAGGAACTTTGCCCAGCTTTGCGGCCATTGATGAGGGTGACAAGATTCGCACCATCTATGATGGCAGTTGGGGCCGGGCCAATGCCCACATTCAAAAGAACACGGCGGAGAAGACCACAGCGCCCACAGTTATGGACTGTATCGAAGCCATTCACTATTCGCTGGCTGAATACGGGCAAGGAGGACCCCACCCCAGCAGTAGCCACGGGCACTGACATGGGGTGGGAACATTTTCAGAAGACCACTACGTGGGCGATACTCAAAGCTGATGTCATGAAGGCCCACCGGAGAATCAATATTGCCAAGGATGGCTGGCGCTTCCAGGTGGCACAGCTGGACGGAGAATGGTGGGTAAACAAGGTGGGAACCTATGGCATGGCAAGTGCCCAACTATTGGTCCAAGGACGGTCTTCTTTTCCAGGGGGAAATCTACAATTGGGCCACATGGGTTGGCCTGAAACCCAAGCCATGTGTTGACATCAGAAAAATTGTTTTGTGCCAGCTAAGGGGGCAACCAAGAGCTGCGAGAAGCAGAAGCAGCCGAGCTGTGTCCTGGGTTGCCGTCTCAGTCCTCAAAAGCCAGCAAAAATCACCAACAAAGACAAACCCCCAGTCAATGTGCGGGAAAATTCAATAGCAGAGTCTGAGCAGAACTGCTGCCATCCTGCCCTTGGCTCCAACGGATTATTGATGGCCAATCCTTCACATCCAAGGACATTGAGACAGCCATGGGCAGGCTGAACTGGGCTGCTTCTGCACGGCCACTACGTCGCCCATTCCTTCAACCTTTCTGGGTGGAAGGCAGCAACTATATACTACCTCAGGGAGACCCAGCAAGCTCATCCGCTCCTTTGCGCGGCTGCTATATACTCCATCTGCTCCACTATCCTTAGGCCCAACCTTGCCCATATGATCCTGCATCGAACTGGTGGGGGGCCAATGATGCCAGTGCATGCCCAGATGGACGGGCATATATTGGAGGATGGTTAGCGGACAAGGAAAACCTTTCAAAAGAAGACGCCTGGTGGTTTCATTATCAGGTTCCGTTGGAGGACCACCTTTAGGCACAGAAAGAGGGGGACCCCACTTGTCGAATTCTGCTCTGGAGATGTTTGGCATTCTGATCCTTATTCATTTTCTCCTGATCATGGGAGGCAAGACTCTCCTCAAGCCTCATCTCCGACAACCAAGGCAACATTTTTGCGCTCTTGAACCAAAAGACCGCCTTCCTGATGCGGCTCATCGTGATGCTCCACAAGGCAGGGGTACAACTGGCTCCTTCACACATGAAGAGGGACTACAACCAGTGGGCTGATGAACTTACCCATCCTAGCTTTGCTGGCTTCCGACCTGACCGGCAACTACCTGTGAGCAAGGCTTTTTCCCAACTCAAGTAGAAATGGTGGACTATCAGGACCGAACTCCAAGAGACGTAAGGCCGATCCAAAGGCCACCTCAGGTCCCATGGAGCCTGGTGGTCGCGGCCGTTTTCTAGATTGATGTGGTGGTCTGAGCACTCCTGCTACTCCTCACACCTGACGCGAAAGCCCCTGGCTTCGACGGCCGGGTGGAAATGTGACACCGCCACTAGTTTTGGAAGTGGTTCCTGGAGGGAACCAAACTGATGATGCATGTGGCATCAAACAGAAACCCAGCCGCGCAGGCCAACTGCATAGCAAAAGGTTAGTGTCGCTGCAGTTGCCTGCTTGCTGAAAAGCAATTTGCAATTTGGGAGCACAACAGTTTCTGGAAGGTGTGGCCTGCCTTCGCCACATCTTGGCCTAGGACTCTACCAAAATCGAGGCTGACATTTTTTTGCAACGCTCGTTTTGGCTGCGAAATCTCAGCATCAACCCTGCTGCGGTCGCCTGGCCACAGGGCAGGCATGGGCAGACTGCTTTGTGAATGATTTGCTGAGGCAGGTAGGGAATGATGGGAAGTCATTGGGAAGCCATTGGGAAGCCATTGGGAAGCCATTTGATGTATTTAATTTGCAGAATTTTGCGGAGTTTGCAGATGCCGCATGCAGCGAGTCAGTCCTAAGGCTTCGCTGCTCACAGCGCTGGCCCCGCCTGGGCTGAATTTCACACGCGTTTACATAAGTGACGCAAAGGCATGGAACTGCAGTGTGGGGGTGGAGAAATCATTATTCAAGTTATTTGTCAGAAACAAATTCATCAATGATGGAAGCAGTTTATTCTGAAAGATCATCATTGAGACTAATGAAATGTATATAAATTTATACTCATTTATCATTTATCTATATTTATGTTCCTTGCCACCCATGGTGACTGGTGGGGTGCAGCAGGTGTCATGGAACAATCTGATGGCGCTTGACTCCAGCCCAATAGAAGTGGAAATTGTTCCTTGGCACTTCACGTCCATCCTTTGTATATTTTTGTATACATTTTTAATCATTTTTACATCTTTGTCATCCTGAGTGGTGGAGGTGGAGTGAGTACGTTGCGGAAATGCATGGGGCCCAAGGACTCAATCTCTGCGGAAGCCAGCGAGCAACCGGCAGGCAGCGAAGAAGAGGTCCTTGTGCCAGTGCAACTGGGGATGTGCTGTGCTGCATGAATTTGATAATGCTTTAGCGTGATTGAAGAGTTAACATTTTGGATACGCATGTTCGGTTCTTTCATTTTGGTAGCCATTCATCGGCTTTGATCATTGCACACAGCACTGCCCTGTTGCGATGCTTCTCGGCGCAGATTGAAGATCTTATCCTTCGCTGGCTGGACGTGTGTGGTGGCGTGCAGCCCGATCCATTTCGAGGCGACGGGGTCTGTATCTCTTTTGGATTCTGACTTCTGACAGCTTCATAGTTCGTAACAGTCGTAACAGAACTCGTGTAGATTTTCACTCCAACCTTGGCTCTTGGGAATCGAGATGAATCATAGCAACGTGTGTTTAAAGAACGTGTTCTTTTAAGACTTGCTGCGCGAAGGTCGATACCCTTTGCTTGATGCAGCCACTTTTCGCGTACACCACGTGGAGCTTAAGATCGATGGTCCATCCCGTTATGGCTCGCTTGCAGTGTCCATGAGAGGAGAGGGACTGGAGATAGCTAGAGATGACATTGGGATGCATTGGGCATGGAAGATATTGGAAGATGGAAGGGGATGTAAAAATGATTAAACATGAGTTAAAATGATGGAAATTAGACAGGCAAGGTCGGTGAAAAAAGGCAACACGAGCAAGAACGACTTTTGAAACTGCCATCCGAACGAACATAGACACCGGATGACACTGGAGAATAGCCCATCCCAAGAGGCAAGTCGTTTTCCAACCCCCCTTCCGGATCATTCTGGAGGGTCTATGTTGTTTGGAGGGATGATATAAGATGACAGTCACTAAGATTCACGGCCTGTGATATCAATTTGGGAATGCACCATTTAAATCCATTTACATGAAGCAGCCAATAGGGGTAAACAGATGTGAATACATAATATAGCTTATTGATGTAAACTTATTGTAAAAGGCTTAATCAATCACATAATATCGCATCATGTATTAAAGATAGTCTATTGAGATTTATTATTGACCTGTCCAGGACTTGAGGTGAAAGCTGTGAACGAGGACGGCCAGCAGCAAGACTTGCTCCTCGCTTGAATTCATGGTGTGGTCCACAAGAAGAAGGGTGATAGTGGCTTGATAGATCTTGATAGCATCTTATAAAACTATAGTATATACATATGTAAATGTATATATGTAAAAAATATATAATTTATATATATATATGTGTGTATACAAATATATATATAATATATATAATATATATATATACGTGTAATTAATTGTAATTACGTATGTCGTATGTAAATCACGCATATACATAGCATTTACACGTACTTGCACCATGTAGCGGCTTGCAAAGAATCTGTTGACTGCTTGGCAGGCTTGGCATTCCTTCAAGCTAATTTGTTTCAAAAGTGAGCACCACCCTTGAGGTTGATGATGTTGGAGCGCTCCCAAGACTGGGAGAACAATGCCATCACAATGTCCAGACTTGTGGAATGCAGCCAGGCGCCTGAAAGAATCTGAAAGACCTAAACGCTGATAGGTTGTGACCTTTTTGATTCTTTTTGCTTCCAGCTTATCAATGTTTATCACAAATGTAGATTTTGTGGCTTTATGATGTTTTATGTGCTATTTACATTCTATTTACAACATTTCGGTATATCTGTGTA